AGCACTGTATATTTTTTATATAATATTTATGATGACTTTTCAAAAATATTCAGTCCTCTCCAAAATAAAGTGTAAAATGAAGACGACTTGTAAACAGTGGTCTCTAAAATTAAATGTTAAAGATTAAGTTATAATTTCAATAATTAAATATTTTCCACAGAGAGTTCACTAAAATCAAGTATACAATACCTTTTAAAAGAAAGAACAGAGGTTGTTGTGTGCAGGGGGGGGGAGTAGGGAAGGAGTGCCCGCTAGTGGGGATACCCATTTGTTTTAATGTAGGGGAAAATATTGACTATGAAAGGATAATATTTTATTTTTATATATAATGGAGATCATAACACCAACATAATGTATACAGGAGGTCATTTTATGGACAGGGAGGGCCGGGTTATTCTATCAGGAAATGGTTTTCCGGCCTTTTTACTTTCTGGATTTTTTTGATAGATTTTTACACTTGTTGATTTGTCATAATTTTCTAGATTTTTACACTGTTCTAGATTTGTCATAATTTTCTAGAGTTTTACATTTTTTTAGAACATTGATACAGTTAAACCCTAAATAAGCCATACATCGAAAGAATTCATCAAATGTCGTATTCTTCACTTTCTAATAACGGAATGTTGCAGATATTTAGTTTTTTAATTAAATGATTATATGGAGCCCTGTAAAACTGTTCCCGAATATTCATGGCTATTTATTTATTGGAAAATTGTCAAGACGACATTTGATAAATTCTATCGATGTATGGCTCATTTAGGGTTTAACTGTACTTAGACTCAAGTTATGATTTTAAATGGTCCAATGTAAATAAAATATAATAAATATGGCAATGCCAGATTCACCACGGTATCCTTAAAAGCTATGTCTGATCAAGCATAAATAAGATATCGTTTATTATTACAAAAATTATTGTTTTCAAATGTGGTTTCAATACAAAAGTGACTAGCGCAATGCGCATTTCTATTGCAGGCAAACATATAAGAATGATCAGAATATAGTAAGTTTAAACCTAGAAAAATTTAATCTTCCACCTAATTGATCAAATAAAGATCTCAAGGGTACTGTTGCGAGGAGGGTTAATTGTAAGGTTACAGTTCCAACAAACATGCACCTAATATTCCATATAAATGACAAATATAAATTTTATTAATTATTGAACATGTCCATGTATGATTACTAATTTGTTGCGGTTTGGTTTTTTATAAAAAATATGACTGAACAAGATAAAAGATGGAAAGGAGTTTTAAGTTTTAGAATTTTTCTATGATTTACTCATTTTTAAGTTTTGTTGGGATTTGTTTGGTTAAGAGGGGAGATTAAAGACTGTAACTTTTAATCTTAATTAAAAAGAAGCTCAAAATAAGCTCGGTGTACTGTACCTGCAAGAAAACTAAAATGCCAAAAAAGAAAATGAGACCATTTTAAACATGAAATTAGATAATTAAGTCATTCCGATTTGGCCCAATTTTTGTATAGCAACTTGCATGACCACAGGGAAGGTTTATGGACGCTTAAACGTTAAATACTTTATCTCTGGAAAAATGTCGAGTTTTTTCAAATATTTTAGAAATCTATTAATGCTAACGGAAAAATCTGTAAAATTTTGAGTTTTTCCATTCCGCTTGAAAAGCAACATTTCAATGCTAAAATTGTTGCCGTATTGTTTTCATATTTAACAGTTATTCTTAGTAAGTAACCCTGTAGGATTTAGGAGAGTGCGGAGAATTACCTGGATCCTGGATCCGGGGCCTGGAACCTGGCTCCGGGGTCTCGGTTCTACTAAAGGAGGATACAGAGGTTTAGTTGCAGGAAAACCAGGGATACAACTAGCAGATGTAAACCAGGGATACAACTAGTAGATGTAAACCAGGGATACAACTAGTAGATGTAAACCAGGGATACAACTAGTAGATGTAAACCAGGGATACAACTAGTAGATGTAAACCAGGTATACAACTAGTAGATGTAAACCAGGGATACAACTGAACTTTATATGGGACCCTACATGACCCCAGGGAAGGTTTATGAATGCTCAAAATTACAAAAATTTGTGTCCAAAAGCTTTTGATTTTTTTTTAGATTTTAAAAATGCGCAAAAAATATTATTAAATCAGCAAACTTTTTTTTATATGTACAAAGGGAATATGCTCACATAGTTGAAATAGAAAATGGGCACGAAGCGCCGTAAAAGTCTAGTATTTTTTTTCTTTTATAATCAACAGATTTTTATCTGCCAAATACCAAATTATAAACCTATTATTTCAGGGATGCGATTTTGTTAACCTTTGAAGTCAGATTGTTCTTTTTTCTTTAATATTCTAAACAGAATGCACTGAGGGTTTTATACGAAATTAAACGGAATTTTGTTTTATTTATATTTCCTGCCTTGGAAAACAAAATCTTAATTAAAGGAATTCTTCACTTTTATAAAATTGAACACAACTTTAAGCGATTCTTTAAGCTCAAGGATGCTTTATTAGATCAACAATTTATTTAAATGGAAAGCACTTTGTCTTTTTGTTACCGGGCCAGTAATCCAAATAAAATGCAGGGATTCAATTGCTTGAATTTAATATATATATTTATTGTAAAAATACCTAAATTGGAGCATGTTTTGCAGGCAAAAGTTTTTTTTTCAATTCTTAAAGAATCAGTTTTATACATTTTTGCAGATTGATTTAAAATTTTTTACAAGGCGTGAAAATTATTTTTTTTTCTCAAAAATATCCTTTGCTTTTCTTAGTAAGACATTCATTGTTTCTTGTGGCTACTGATGTTGTGGTTTGAATTAGGAAAAGAAACTTCCTAATTAGGCAGAAGAATATATTATTGTTATTGTAAGTCTAAATAAAGATGTATATTTCCTTTAATAACAAAATATAATCTGATTTATTAACATAATTGATTAATATACCTTGTTCATTACTTGTATATACTACAAACAATTCATCTCAAGGGATATACACCTATTTACTATTCATTTATTTATATTTGATTATTCATGCACACTTTTTAAAAACAATGGAATACTAACCCTCACTACAATTTTGAAATCTAAGACCAGGCCAACTTTGGAGTGTCGTTTTGTTTTTCTTTGAAATTGGACCCTACACTACCACTGTAACTTTTCTTAAGATATGGACATTTCAAACTAGTTAGTTTTGAAGGAGCAAAATCCTAATAAATCATTCCTCTAAAATGTGCGTTTTTGTCAGGATGTGGACGCAAATCTAATTACAATTCATTATGAGTGCTGGGGTGGACGCACATGTTTTTGACTCAAGCTTTAGGTTAAGATCAAGTATTAAAAGGAGCGTAAGCGTAATTTCTAGTGATCTTATATTTCAAGAGCGGCATTCCAGATTCACAACGGTACCTTTTAAACCTTGGACCGATAATCAATGACAGAGCTCTCAGTGTATATATCTCATGAATGATAAGTAAAAAGCCGCAATCTGGATTGTATACTAGCTAGCATACTATTGTAAACTAAACATGGATGACGTCACATTTATTCATAGAAAGTCTAGAATATTCTTTTTCCAACACGGTTTTCAAAAATTTGATTGTGAATATTTGAATTCTGCAACTTCTTGAAAATAAATGTTATTTTCTTTTAAACACAAATTGCTTTTAAACAAAGTGTTTAAAAATTGCAAGCTTTTATTCATCCATGATCAGTCAAAGTTCTACATCGAGGAGGACATACTGAAAGATCATTTGAAATTACGCTTACAGTCCCTTTAATACCAACCCTAACTATGCCTTTCCATGTTTAGTAATGTAGAAGTATGCATCTACTTTATTGCCTCTAGCATTAACATAAGCATGCTTAGGGTTTATTTACATTTTTCTGCCTGAGCTGTGGAAGATAGAGGGAGAGCATTAGTTCTGTGTTATTCTTCTCTTTAATCTAGAGCTGGGCGAAAACAGGATTTTTTAAACCGGCCGGTCCATCACTGTAAACTCCAGTTCATTGAAAGTATAAGACCGACTCTGAAGCAGCGAGAGAAAGTTGATCCTTAATTCTACATTCTTTTCCAAATCGTTCTGCTCCACAAATTTTAATTAATCTTTTATCAAGAAGGAATTGTTTTTGGGTCGTCAACAATATGTGATGGTTAAAGGGAATGTAATCGTAATTTCAAGTTACCATCCAAATGTAGAGTTGCATGTTCGAATCTTAATATTACTCTTTGTTGAGGGTTCTTTTTTAAAGTGACTTGTGAAGTTGTAGATTTCTTGCTAGAGAAATAACATAGGATCTTTACAAAAAGACATTCTTGGTTCATTATCTTCCACATTATTATATCAGATAAAGGTTTCAAGGGTACCGTTGTGAATCGAAGATGCCTCTCTGCAAGGATTGTCACTTAAAATTACGACGACAGTTCCGTTAAAGAGAAATCCCAACCCTACTCAGTTTGATGGAAGTAAACAATTGTTTTCCCAGAGAGACTCTATCTTATTTAGTCAGGTTCAAAATTCCCAGGATTCCTGAAGAAAAAATTCTTCTTGTTCTAATGCAAGGTTTACTATAGTGCAAATATTTCTGCATTGAAAGATTAAATTAGATATTTATTTAAACTCATTTTAAACTTATTTTAAATTTATTTAAAATATATTTTATATTTATTACTAATTTACCTGTTAAAAAATTACCTTTTTATTAATTTACTAATTTACTTCAATTTTTATTTTACTTATTTCAAATTGACTTAATTATTAATTTACTTTTTTTAATTTACTTATTTACAATTCACTAATTTATTAATTTACCTATTTATAAATTACTATTTAAAATTTACTTATTTACTAGTTTACTGATTGAAAAGTAACTTATTTACTAATTTATTTCTTTGCTAATATACTTATTTATTAATTTATTGATTTATTGATTTACTTATTTATTGATTTACTTATTTACTAATTTACTTATTTACTTATCTATTTATTTATTAATTTACTTAATCACTAATCGACTTTTGTTTCAGATGCAATTTTAAAAACAAGCAGAAATTAGCAAAGGAAAATTGTTGAATTCTGAATTTCCGAAATTATTCTTTTGTAAATGCAATATTGTTTTAAGTTGATCCTCTTCCTTTAAAACCAATGACATTAAAAAATGACCAGTTACCCTTCATAAAAAGTTTCCTTTGAAACCAAAAGTAAAAATAGTGATAATTCTAATGGCTTTGTTTTCTAACTAAAAAATTATTTCTAATCTCGGTTTCCCAATAAAAGTGCCTTGCCGATTTTATGTAGCAGAGAAATAAAAGTAATTTACAGAATTCAGAGTTGCAGTATTAAACAGATCATATTCAACAGTACGCAAACACTCTGAAAACGACGATATCTCACAGGAGGATCTGAGAATCTCAGGTTTGCTCCTGTTATAATTTTTTGATTTAATTTTGCATTTTTGATTGGTATAATTGATAATGAAATTACATAGTGTCCGTATAGTCCATATTACGTCACCGGGAACTTCAGCCAATGGCAGTGCAGTATCGTTGTCAGGTGATACAGACGGAAATCACGTGACCAGTATACTGCACTGCCATTGGCTGAAGTTCTGGTGATGTCACACGGACTATATGTAAAAATATTATCAATTAAATCTATTAAAAATGCAAAATAAAAATTACAAAATTAAAATAGGAACAAACCTGAGATTCTCAGGCTCCTGTGGGATACCGTCGTTTTCAGATTGGTTGCGCATTTGTTGAATATGATCTGTTTAATACTACCACTTTTATACAAAATTGCATATGTATGAATGTTCGTATAAATTTGACACCGTTTGATATCAATCAGATGGATGTTTTATATGTATCGTTAAATGCTTGAGATTCTTAGGTTTCATTCTATACCCCCTTTAATTTTTCCTTTACACTCCCTTTAAGATGATAACTTTTAACTAAAACAACTTTAAGCTCTGAAACTTAATATCTATGTGTGACTAACACTTTTTAAATTGGCAGTGTAATTTATTAAAAGCAAAAAACAAATGTACAGTGATAACCAGAAAACGATGGAATAGAAAGACGACTTAAGCTTTTTGATGTTGTTACAAAGCCAATATTTCAACTAGTAACTTAGCAAAAGCACAATTAAAGTGAAAAGGGTCTATTTACACTCTACAATTGCTAAAATGTCTAATTTTCATTTTACTAGTATTAGTCCTAACTTGAGTTCAAAAGTCGTCTTTTTATTTTAGAGTTTTCTGGTTATCACTGTATTTTCCAACATCTTTGAAATGAATCAGTTAATCTTCATAATTTTACTTCCGTCTATTCACAAGTTTTGGATTTAAATCGAAACAATAATTAATTTTGAAGTCAGTTTCAAAGATGTCTGGAGTTAAGGAATCTAGGTAAGAATAGAATAAACATTGATATAAATTTCATAAAAATTCTAAAATTATGAAATGGTTAAAATTCACAAATTTAACCTAAAAAAGGAATCTTGATGCCACGAATTTGGTGATAAAAACTGGAAATTTAAAAAACTTGTTCATTTTGTTCTTTTATGTGACACATTGGTCAAAAATAAGTAAATTCTAAAAAAAATTTGAAAAAACTCTTATCTATCTATCTCTTGCTATTAATTGCTTGAAAAAAAATAAAGGTTATTTAAAACTATCAATTATTTTAAAACTAAAACAATTAAGTATAGTAATAAAAATAATTAAATTATACATGATTACCCGCTAATTACAGTAATAATAATAATTAAATTATACATGATTACCCGCTAATTACAGTAATAATAATAATTAAATTAAACATGATTACCCGCTAATTATAGTAATAATAATAATTAAATTATACATGACCGCTAATTACAGTAATAATAATAATTAAATTATACATGATTACCAGCTAATTACAGTAATAATAATAATTAAATTATACATGATTACCCGCTAAGGATGAGACTTCAGAGACACTTGTAAAATATTTATGTTGTCTATTTCCTCACATTTATGATTCTCTACAACTGAAAACTTGTGTCTTTCTGAAAGGCCTTAAAATGACTATCTTTATGGCAGATGACTTATTTTAACCTTAGAATCTACATATTTAAAGAGATTCAGGTCGTCTTACAGTCTCATCCTTTGTGGGTAACTCTGTGTATATCTCTAATGAGATATCATGATAATATTAAAGTGTTTATTATAATACTTAGAATGATAATTAGATGAAAAAAAATTCAGATCTCGAGGGCGTTCTCAACTGAAATCAAGAGATGAAGAAAAATATCCTTCTCTTCAGGTTTTCTTATTTTTTTTGGCACTTAAACGGTCGTTTTGAATAGGAGTCATTTTTCTAATTTTCCGTTTTAAAACGAAAAACAATATTTTCATCGTTTTTCGACGATTAATTGCAATAAAAAATTTGCTCAATTCAACACGCTGACTTTAGTAAAATTGAACGTTAGTCAAATCGATACAACATCGTCATTTCATATTTAAAATGGTTTGAAAAAATACAACAGCCAAGACAAGGCACCTTTAACCAGGTGTTTGTGAATGTTGCAAAAAATTAGTTTTGGCAAAAATGTGTTCCTAATCTGTTGCGTTTCTAAGAAAAAAATGGTTGAAATGTATTTAAATTCAATTAGTTGCATTATTTATACCACTTAACCCGTGAATAATTCAATAATATTTATAACTGATCCTTTAAAAATTTCAATACATAAATACCGTATTTTAAATAGGGCCGGACATTCGGATGAAGATACCATATTATAATATTTATAATTTTTGCATGATTCTTGTGTAAGTTAAGAATATTTTGAGGATTTTTAATTACGAAGACGACATTTTCATATAATCCAAGAAATCCAGCCCATGCCGTTAAAAGAAAATTTTCAACAAAGAATTATATTTTTTTTTAGGATTCTGGATCTAAGGTTCGAACAAAGACAACCAGCCTCCCTCCCGGAACCTATTCTGGATCCTCAGGGTTCAAAACTGGACACATGGAGGTATATAACATTTTATCTTTAAACATATCAAGTCACCAAATTATGTGGTTCTTCATCCTGACTCGGGACAATAAAGAGAATTTCAAATTTTGGATAAAAAACTTATTCAGATTCATTTTATCTTACAAAGTTACGCGAAATGGCGACAGTAGCGTAAAATTATTTTAATTTAAAATTTTGAAGACTCATGCGTGATAATAAAAATTTTAAGCTCGCGAAATTTTGCATACATTCGACCTAATTTGGCGTAATTACGGCCTAATTACATGCAATTTTTAAATATTAACTAGGCACATTACGTAGAATTAACTAAAACTTGATTTTGTAAAATTACGGATTAAAGCGTAATTGATTTATTCTTAATTTTGCGTAAGCTAAAGAAATCGTTTCGCTTTATTGTCCTACTGCTGTACTGTCTTGGCTAACCGCTTTATTGTCCAGAATAGCTAACCACTGTACTGTCTTGGCTAATCGCTTTATTGTCCTAAATAGCTAACCACTGTATTATCTTGGCTAACCGCTTTATTGTCCTGAATAGCTAACCACTGTATTATCTTGGCTAACCGCTTTATTGTCCTAAATAGCTAACCACTGTATTATCTTAGCTAACTGCTTTATTATTCTAATAATTCTGATATTCTGATAATCGCTTTATTGTCCTTAATAGCCCCCTTATTGCCCTGACAAACCAATTATTTGCCCTCACAAACTATTTTATAGTCCTGACTGGCTCTTTATAGTCCTGTCAAACCACTCTATTGTCCTGACGAGCAACTCTACTTTCCTGACTAAACACTAAAACCCAATAATGTTCCTGATTAACCACTTTATTGTCCTGACTAACCACTTTATTGTCCTGACTAACCACTCTTTATTGTCCTGCCTGATCACTTTTTTTGTCCAGACTAGCCCATTTAGGTTTCTGACTAAAAGCATTATCGTCCCGACTAACCCATTTAGGTTCCTGACTAACCATATTATTGTCCTGACTTGCCCCTTTTTGTCTTGGGTTGAGTTAAGGTATATTAAAATTGAAATATCCAATCTCAACCCTTCGACCACTGACCAGGCATATACATATTTAAAGCATAACCTTCTAACTTTACTCTCACTAAGTTTTAAAACAAATGTTATACAAAGACAGGTTAAAAGCTTGAGAAATATACAAAGTAAATCCTACAACATGCTTCAGAAACACAGGGTTTTTCACAAAGAATGAGACGTCAGAGACAACTTTGAAAAGCTGTGTTTTTGGTGACCGTGTTTTTGATGTGGAACCTTTTTTTCTTTGTGTTGTTTGCAAAAAAAATTTCGCTTGAATCTAGCAATTTGATAGCTATTTTTAAAACTGTTTTATCAAAATTCTCATGGGATTCTATGAAGCGCAAATTACTTCTTTAATGAATCAAATGAATAAACAGAACTCGGAACTTTTTTGTATCGTTAACCTTTTACGCTTTATCTTGATATCCTGTGTTGGCACTTTTTAATGGAATTGAGTTTTTGCTACAAACTCAAATCTCCTAATCTCGATATCTTTTCAAACTAATGGTGTTGACCTTAAATTATTCAATTTAAGATTATTTGATATAACAGATTTCATAATTTGAAATATTTAAGGTCTACAGTGCAGCGTTGGGTTCCAAAAATTTAGAAATAAGAAAATTAGAGTTTGTGGCAAAGGCTCAATTCCTTCGAGAATAAATGTTTTCTCAATTAGAATTAGCTTAGACCGATCATCATTGAAGAGGAATTGAATTAATCTGCAGATGGATATCTATGTTTGATCTCGATATTCACAGCAAACAAGTTCTGACTTTATTTAGTAGATATATTTGTATTTTTCAGTTTCGAGTAGGGTTTCCAGCGGAAGAAAACATTTGCGAAAAATGCGAAAATTTTCTGTAGTATTGTGCAAACTTTTTCGCAGAAATGAATTTTACGGAAGCAAGCAAAACCGTTCCGGAGTTCCACGATAATTTATTTCGCGAAAAAAAAATATCACGCAAGAAAAAATTCTGCGCAAAACCTTTTAATATGCGAAACAGGCGGAATTTCGGTGAAACTAAATATTTTTGCGAAAAATGCAGCGTTGGGAGTTCATCTTACAGTATACTGAAATTTGTTTACAGAAGGATTAAATCTTGAATTAAATAACCTTATTTATTCTGAGCCTTAAGTGGATCAAATCGTACTCAGTTTTCTTCATATTGAAGGGGGGGGGGTGTAATAGAAGGTTTTTATTTTAAAAAGTTCCATTATCAAAGAAACTACATCGCTTGCAATAAAGTTTCTAAAAATATGTTTTTTTTCTAATTATGAATGTAATAATATGACACGTTAAACTGAAGTGAATTGCATGTTAAAATTTTAGATTAAAATCTGACATGTTTTCTTCATAACTGCTTTTTCAAGAAGTATCAAAAAGAACAAAAATGTTTTGAATTTCTAAAATGTAACCAGCTAAACTCACTTTTCATAATACTTTTTCGTAAAATCTACGAGGTCACAAAGTTGTATCAGTAATGTAATGAATTTGACCTTCTCCTTCTTGCTTAGTTTGCAGTGATGAATGTACAGCGGGAGTCCTTGGCTCTAACTGTACTACATTACATAAGAATGTACATATTTAGGTTAACAGTCTGTACAGTGGGGATTCTGGAAGTCTAACTGTAAACTCTATGAATGCTCCAAACAATTCAACTTTACAGGTTTATTTAAAGGAAATGTTCACGAAAATAAAAGGTGTAACCATTATTCAATAGCAAATTATTACTAATTGCATTTTTTTCACTCTATCAAATTTTTAAAATGTGGTCTAGTGCCAGCCTATGCCAATGTGTGTGGTGAATGGTTTAAATTGAATGTAAGCGTAATTTCAAGTGAGCTTTCATGCAAAGATGGTAATGCCCGATTTAGAACGGTACCCTTGAAACCTTTATCTGATCAAAAATGTGAAAGATATTGTCGTTTTTCTAGGTTTAAAGGTTTTCATTGTGATGATTATTATGCATTTTTCTGCAGTAATGCGCAAGTCACTTTTGTAGAGAAACCACAATTGAAAATAATCATTTTACAAAATTTTCAATATTGATATCTATTACTTGATCAAACACACTTGTAAATAAGGTATTGTCATCTTCGCATGGATAGTCATAACAATTAAGCTTCTACATTCTCCTTAAACAATTTTTTTTTACATAAACATTTCGTGGATATGGTAATATTGCAATAAGATTCTTCACTTCTTTGTTATCTATCCAATACCACTGTAGTTAGTTCTGTTTTTAATATAGAATTCTTTCTTATTCAAAACATTTTCTGAAATCTTGTACTATGTTTTTTTACGCCAAATCTTTTAATTTAGTTTTTATTTCATTTACTCACTATTTTGTCGCGTCATTTTTACCTTGTGTACTTTGTATAATATAATTGTGTGAAGGTAAAACTAATGATGACTGATTATATAGGTTTATGCTTAATCCATCAATATATTGGGTTTATTAGTTTTCATGCATATAATACAAGTATAGTCTAAACTATTAATCATACCGATCTTATATCATATAAAGTATATTGTTATTATACATTCTAGTATAATAATCAAATTCCTACTGGATCAGACAATGCTTTTAAAGGGAGTGTTCGCGAAAAATGAAAGGGGGAATAGGCTTAATGCGATAAAAAGCGCTTTGGATCGCTACTAACCTTATTTCTATCTGTTGCGTCTATAAGGAGAAAATTGTTAAAAACGACTCACACAGAAGAACGCAGCGTCCATACAAATTCGGAAAGATGCAACCTTCAACGCGGATCGTAAACAAATCAATTTAATTCCAAACAAATCATTCAGATATTGCAAACAGTAGTTATCGATTACTTTTCGACGCATTCGTATAAAGTTAATATTTCATAATATTTCTGATTTTGTTTTTTAAAATAATTTTCGCTGGCGCTGGATTTTCGAACATTCCTGGAAATTATGAGAATGTCGTCTTCATTATAAAAAATCCTCGAAACAGGAATAAATATTTTCAAAAGTAACTCTCAGATCATGAAAAATACAAAATATTATGAAATATCAACTATTTACGAATGCGTCGAAAAATAATCTTTGATGCTCAAAAGACCGTTGTAAACATGGAGGATTACTTGAAATTACGTTTACAGTCCCTTAAAAAGGAAGTGCGATCTAAGATTCTTAGGGGAATTCACTTAAAAGGGAGTGTGATCCAAGATTCTTAGGGGAATTCACTTAAAAGGGAGTGTGATCCAAGATTCTTAGGGGAATTCACTTAAATGGATCACACTTAAAACAAATTAACTATGGTTAGTGTTGATCTGATTTAAGGATTTTTGGTTTTTCTTGTGGCACTAGCTATGTGAACCTTGTGGCACTAGCTATGTGTCGACTCTCGCACCACAGACTTTGGCCTGAACGAAGCAAATCCAACCCTTCGTTAAAGTTCAGAAATATAACTTCTATTTTACATTTTACAATTTTACAACATTTTACAAAGTGAAATAAAACCAAAGAAAATACGTTCGTTAAACTTCTCAGATGTTTATATGAGTCATAAAACCCGGATGATTAAAAAACGGGAAAAAAGCAATTGGTCCCATAAATTCTAAAAATAGGATAATAGGAAAATCTGCTAAAAATGGTTTTTCTTTCAAAGTCTTTTTATTTTTATATTTTATCATGATTGATTCAGTTTTACTGAAGGAAAAGACCTAAAACCCTTTTCATGTAGCTTAATCATCGCATTTTATCAAGTAACTATGAAATATGCTTTTTCTCACACAGTTTTCTTTTATAATGATTAAGGGCTTTTCCAGCCCACAATATTCTATTTCAGTTTACATAAAAATATTTTTTAATAATTTACATAAAATTAAGGTTTCTTCCCGCCCACAGTTTTATATTATAATTTACATAATGATAAAATTCAGTGCTCTTTCCCGCCACAGTTTTCTTTTATAATTTACGTAAAATTCAGAACTCTTTCCGCCAATACGTTTGCTTTTTTGAAACTAGTTTTAACTTGCACAACTAAGCTAATTAAAATTAATCTTTTGAAATTTTATTTTGCCATGAATACCTAAGGTCATACTTTGTCAATTTTGTAGCAAACTTTTGGCAAACAGGTTTTAACTTTTAAGTCCATCTTAGAGCTAATTTAATTATAGTTTGTTGTTTGTTCTGTATATTTCCCCCTATATTCCTATTTTCCCTTTCATTTTGTTTTATTGCTCTCTTTATTATGGTTAATTTCCGCTTTTTTAATTTTCCATTTTCATTTTACTTCTTTCTTGTTTTCTTAAAGGGACTGTAAGCGTAATTTCAAGTGACCCTCCATGCAAAGATGGCAATGCCCGATTCACAACGGTACCCTCAAAACCTTCGACTGTTGTCAGATTTATTATAATTAATCTACAAAATCACGTTTAATGGTTGAACACTATGTTTGCAAGCTGTTTTAAAATATTCGGTTGTGTCAAATTATTCAAGTAGTGCATAAGCTGTGTTGAGGTCAAACTGTAGAGAGCGTTTACCGCATTTTAGCGGGATTAAAGTGGTTTTTAAGGAATGCACAGTCAAAGGTTTAAGGGTACCGTTGTAAATCGCGTATTTTCATCCTTGCAATGAGTGTCATTTACGCTTACAGTCCCTTTAAGAAATGAAGGTGAAGTAAAGAATAGGGGGATAGGGGCTCTACACATTCTATTGTGATATATATTGGCAGCCTAAAACTAGTTTTTCGTAGAACAAATACCATTTTGAGAAAAGATCCAGCTCTCCCTCCTTCCGTGTATTTTAAAATTGGGATTTTGGGTTGGGACATTTGTACATTTCATAGATAAACAATTTTATAGAGGACAAATATCATTTTTATTGGCCTATTAATAAATTAATAAAGATAGTAATAAAGCTGTTTTTGGTTTATGCTGTCAAACGTTATTTAGATGTATTCACACACAAAGGTCATCCCCAAGGGTATCTATGAGTTTCCTCACTAAAATTCAGCCCATTTGATTTAGCCGTTTGGCCAGCCATAGCAAACACATAAATGAACCTAAGAGCTTTATTATACAATTGAACTCCTGTAGTGTGGTTTATACTAACTATTTCTTTAACACATATTACCAATCATATTACCCTTTCTTTAGATAGTCAGTTCACCTTAAGCTTCGCCTCTATTTTATTTATATTTTCACCCCCTCCAAAAAAACATTACGTCTCAAACTCAAATTTTCTAAACCCTATATCTTTGCAACCTGATGGTATAAACCTTTGATATTTTAAACCTATTTGATGTACCAGAATTTATAAGTGTGATTTATCAAAAAATTACGACATCGGGATGCAAAGATATAGGGATTAAAAAAATAGAATTTGTTTTTAATGGAAGAGGTAAAAAATTTGTTTGTGTCATAAAAATTCTATTTTCAAGCTCTAAAAATGCAGCTTTAAATTTCTTATTTCACTGAATTCTAATTTTGTCAATTATTGAATTAAATATCTAACCTCCCCCCACCCCTATTACAGTGATATTATAGTCTAAAATAGTAAGATGGCTTTATAACTATACTTAAGTGTATTTTATGTTGTTACAAAGCAAATAGTTTTACTACATACTTATTAAACACTAATTAAGTGAATTGGGTCTTTTTACACTCAACAATTTCTGTGTCCTATGCTCATAGAAATATGTACAGTCAAAACTTAAAACTAAAAGTCGTCTTCCCATTTCAGAGTTTTTTGGCTTATAGTACTGTACCCAATTAAGTTGTCAATTATACTGAATGTATCTATATAGGTCTTTATCGGACAATTTCTTACTTAATCTATTTAGATGTAGCGGTTGGATTGGCCAGGACATTGTTTTTCAGTTTATCCTACAATCTTCAACCAAACCTAGTTTGTAGAATTAACACAGAAACATGGTCTATTTATTATTTAAGCAATTCTTCAATTTAATTCCTATAAAATCCACCAACTCATAAAAAGAATCTAAAGCTCTGCATCCACTAAAATAAGAAAGCTTATTCAAACCTTATCAAACTAAGCAAAAAAATTCTTCTAAATTTTATGACTGCTACAAATTAATGTTTTATGCATTCCACCAGTAAAAAAAGTCAGAATATTTTACAGTAAGAACCAAATAGCTATTCTTATCTTATATTATATGCAATTATATAACTCCCAAAATATTGTTTTATGACAATAAATCTTAAAACCTAGGATAAAACGAAATTCGGCTTAATTTAAAGTTTTGGTTGGAGCCTGGAAAACTAAAAACCTTTATTTTGAAAATATTTAGCTGTTTCCTCCGCTCCTAAATATATCTTGTTCAGCCTGTACTTCTAGTAATTAGTAATGACAACACTGCTTAGCAATTTATGTACTGCGTACATTGAGAACATTGTCAACGCCATTTTTTGAGATCTGCAAGACAGCTTTCCAGAGATATATTACAGATTTTAAATTGTTTAGTGGCGTTACAACATGTTGCGGTGTTGCGCATTTTTAATTATATTCATTATTCAGCTATCTTCATAAATATTTATTAGATTTTAAGGGTTTGTGTAATAAAATAATAATGAAAGTCGTAAATTTCTCTGCAGAATTATAATGTTAAAAAATATTAAATCTATTTATCTTAAATGTATATGTATGTCAATGTATGTTTACCCCTTTCTTCAATAAAATATTTTTTTTTTCTAAAATTATTTCAATTTAGAAAAAATAAAAATCTTTGTTTTACTTGTATCATAG